TTGTAACTTCTGAACGCTGATTGGCTAAGAGCCGTGTTGATATAACTCCATGTCAACACGGGAAATTTTCCGCCGCTTGTAACACGGAAATTTTTCTTATTCTTCGGGCTTTTGACATTGCTATATTATAAAACAAATATAAAACATTTTTTTCCGTATTGATATATAGTTATATCAACACTCGTGGAAGTTGGGAAAACTCGAAATTGTGTGAAAACACTCCGCCCTTCGGGCGTCGTGTTTCCACACAATTTCTCGTTTTCCCAATTTCCACTCGTGTTGATATAACTGTATATCAACACGGAAAATGTTTTATATTTGTTAAATATTATACAAACATTGCGTCTTTACATAAATGGCTTTAACTATTGAAACAGACAACATTTGCATAATTTTAATTATAAATTTAATGTGAAGGTAATAATATATGCCGATGTTAACACAGGAACCGAATCATATCGAAATCTTCAAGTCGTAGTGAAGGATGTATTTGTTGAAACACATCCTTTTCTTTTCTGTGAGTGTAGGATTTGCAAAATGTTCCATGCACATTGCACTGTTTCATCGCCATCGTGAAAAATATTTATCCAATAGCGTTATTCATACAGTGCTGGCAAACACCGAGACTGAATGTGCCATTTATTGCTCAAGAGATAAAGAGTGCGTCTCGGTAAACTACAAAGCTACGGGAAAAGATCGTGGTTTATGCGAACTTAATAATAAAACGCTGTCCGGGCCAGCCACTAATGTTAACAGGAAAGAATTCAACAACCTTGAAATTCTACAAAAGGTAATTATGAATAACATAGCCTAAAAATTGCTTTTCTTTGTTATAAATTTCTTGACTAGGTCCGGTCATGGCTTTCTTGCGTGCTTGATGTGCTTTATTTTCCCGAGCCGCGTGTGTTTGACAAAATGTTGCAAAGTTTCATTGAACTATTAGGGTTAGTATTAGCGCATGGATTAGGATTACGATTATTTTCTGAAATAATTCCTAATAAATGAATTTGTTTCTAAGTTGGTATGTGCATGCAGTCAACCTGAACAAGAGACTGGGTTGTTTGTTTGTTTGTTTGTTTGTTTGTTTGTTTGTTTGTTTAGTAGTATAGAACTTTTATTGAAATTTTATGTTTTCGTAGTCTAATTTTCTAGTTGTTATTTATGAGCGAGGTTTTCTTTGTTGGGACTTAATTCGAATCCGTTCGCCGATCCCATATCTAACTCGCCTTTGTTAAGTTGTAATGACTTTTGTTTCGTTCTCACATATAGTATCGTAAATTTCCTAGCGAGTTTGATTAAAGCTTCTTAACTATTTATTTATTTATACATTTAGTTATTGAGTGAGAATTCATAATATGGTAAATTATACGTAGCAATTGCGAGCGACTTTAAGTTTCGGTTTTGTTTGTTGTCGGGTTTTTTTTGTGTTTTTTTTTTTGGGGGGGGGTCAAATATTTATATAGCAGCTTTCTGGCATTTTAAGTGGCTGCAACGTTTTTAGGATATAGGTTGCAACTGAAAACAACACGAGCTTCTTATTTATTTATACATTTAATTATTGAGTGAGAATTCAAAATATCGTAAATTATAAGTAGCAATTGCGAGCAACTTTAGGTTTCGGTGTTGGGTTTTTTTTTGGGGGGGGGTTCAAATATTTATATAGCAGCTTTCTGGCATTTTAAGTGCTGCAACGTTTTTAGGATATAGGTTGCAAGCAAGCAAGTGATTATAAATTTTATTCAAAACGGTGAAAGCAAGTGATTATATATTTTATTCAAAACGGACGCGCTTGTTATAAACAATGAATAAATAATGAATGCATGCGGCTTTGAAGAACTTTTAATGGAACAAGACGCTCTACGGAGCGTTAACTCGCTGGGGTTATACTAGACTTGGTTGAAGGTTCTCTCTTATATTTTCGCACCTTTTTTGACCGCTCGCGTGCATCGCTATTTTCAACCCCTTGGCCTTGAGAGACGAACTTGAACCAACTCTAGGGCTATGCAAATACGCATATTACTGTACATGATACATACAGTACACAGCTATTTCAATTAAGATTTAAAGTTTTCCCCGAGCTAAGCGGAAAAGTCGAATACCGGCGCGAAAGGCTTAATAACACAGTATTAAAATGCGGTAGGCCCTACAAGTAAAGTTATTTTTAGTACGCTGCATTCTATTTCTTCAAGACCTCGTTCAAGACTGTCAGCCGCCAGTTGGTCCGTACGCTAGGATTAAACTGCGCTTTAAAACGTTCAAAATAAAATTTTTTGAGCTCAAAATACTATCAAAATGAAGAGAGAAGTGAGACGAATCCACTGGCATACGGCCGAAAAAGAGAAAACCAATGATACCAAAGTTATCAAGGATCAAACGTACTTAATTTTTTTATAATTAGTTTAATAATTTTGAGCGATTTATCAACAACACAATTTCGCTTGATTTTCAAAGGCCATAAATCGCTAGAATACTGTTGTTTAGTAATACATTTGATATCCGTAATTAGTACAATTTCTAACGCTGAATCGAACGGTGGTATTTTTATCCTTATTGCGCCATTAGGCATTACAAATACAAGGACAAACGTAGCGCAAGTGATTTCTCAACAATAGTATACGTACTGCGAGCGATTAGTGAACAATACAATTTCGCTTGATTTTCAAAGGCCATAAATCGCTAGAATACTGGTGTTTTGTAATACACTTGACATCCATAAGTACAATTTCTTACACTGAATCGAACGGTGTCGCTTTCTTCTCAAAATATATTAAATTAATTAAAGCAGCGCAGCCAAACGTATAAACTTGCGACGAGACTTGCGATTTGCGAAGGTTGTTGTTTCCGTGCGAAATTCCTTGTAAAATTGTTCAATTTTCCCGAATTTTCCTCAAAATGCAGGGTTATTTATGGATAATTTGGGTAAAATTGGCAGGAGCCTTATGGATAATTGGGGGGAAAATTAGGCAGCTCATTAATATTCTATTTTGTGGCTATCGAAGAAAATTGGAGATTCACTATTGGAGATTGCCGATCCACTAAAAATGAATGCCGAAACCTATACTGGTCTGGGGCACAGGTGCCCCAGCGAGTAATTAGGGTTTTAAGAATAGCAACCTTGTAAATTTGATGGACTTAGAAGAAATGTCTACTCTCCCGAAAGGGTGGTGCAGTGGGAAGTAAAACCTTTTACAGAAGACAAACTATACACTAATTATTTGCGTTAATTATAGCAAAGTCTATAGTTATTATTAGTATACTGTAGGTAATCGCATGGGGCCGAGTAAAATTAAGGTTTAATAATTAATTTTGAAAGCACAAGTGAAATTAAATCTTAATTATACGAGGAAATATCTGTTATTCATAGAGGGCAAAATGTATTCGCAACTAAATTAATTGTGAACTTGTCAAGTTTTTGAACCTCGTATGTCTCCATGTCTTCGTCGATCAGTAATGCAGCCCATTTCTTAAATAGTCCAACCCATGAATTTGTACTTTTCTAGTGGTCGAGATTTCACTAGAAGTTTTTAATTCTTCAATAATGTCCTTGTCCCCAACGACAAAGTGAGAAGCCATTGCTTTTTATTTCTATTTAATTAAAACAAGAAACATCTTGCGCTTGCATCTCAGCCAATCAGGTACAAGTAATTTTGCCCTGAATTGAGAAAAATTAATGCCCTTATCATTAGCCAATCATATTTGACTAATTTTGCTCTACAGTGTGTCCCAAAAAAAAGTGACAATATAGAAATTATCCTATCGTTATAATTTGAATGCCCTAGCATTAAGTTGATCCCACAGGTGCATAAATTTCTGCTTCTGGAATTTAAAATAAAAAAACAAACCGTTTATTAGTGTAATCGTTTTGCTTGACTCCGGCGTTAAAATATTTGGACAAAGCGAAAACGTTTTAAAATGCTTAAATGTAAATACAAGTTCATTAAATTCCCAGGCGTGTAATCACGCGCGTTTAAGAGCGGCTTAAGAACAATGAAATTTCTATAGTGTCACTTTTTTGGGGGACACCCTGTATATATGATTAGTTAAGTAATCAAGGTCTGGTGTTCGTAACTAATTAGCATTTTCTTTAATACTCATTTGCACGGAGTTTACTGTAGGTGGTGCATGCATGTGACCTAATTCCTGCAATTTGATTGGGTGCAAATCATTAATTATTAATGAATTTCACAATATAAGTTATCAAAATACCCTTGCTATGATTATATGGCGTACAATTTCCGCCGACATTCAAGTTTGGACATTAAGCATTCGCATTTTTGACATTAAGTTAAAGTTTGAAATTTCAGCGTTGAATTTTCAACACTAGATATTGCATTTAGAACTTTAATTTTAACATTTACGTTCCGTTTTCAACCCTTTCACTTGAATTTTGGCGGATATGTGCAGGCGTACAATTTCCGCCATAATTCATGATTATAATTTCGACGGCACACAACTTTGCAACCTCAACATGAAAATCTCGTTTCCAACATGGAGGTTGCCATTCTTAATAATATACATTGTATTTTAAACGTAAAAACGAGCTTTTACACTGTGTATTTATTGCCACAAAGGAATGTCTTTGGAAAACTTAACACTTGCTCCTTATTTCAGTCCTCTAGTAAGAAACTCACACCGCCAAAGTCTTGCAAAGATATTCTGACAAAGTCACCTGAGGCTGCGAGTGGACTTTATGATATCTCTATCGACAACAAGATGGTGACAGTATACTGTGAAATGGTCCTTCATGGTGGAGGCTTCACCTTTATCCCCAAGCCAGCTGTGAGGAATGGAACCCTACCTAACCTTGTAACACAACTTTTCACAAACCACAATGAAGTTATTCTTTACATTCAAAACAAAGATGGAAGTCAGACATACACTCTGATTGAACAACTGGAACAGAAATCGCATATTCCTTTGGTTATTTTACAGAATACTTACACAGGTATATATAATGACATTATGATTCTTCGGAACTTCAACAGCAAAAGTTGACCCGAGCGGGATTTGAACTCGCACCTTTGTGGCTCTGCCGCTGGTTACACAGGTATATATAATGACATTATGATTATATATAATGACATTATGATTCTTCGGAAAATCAACAGCAAAAGTTGACCCGAGCGGGATTTGAACTCCCAACTTCGTGGCTCTGCCGCTGGTGAGATCGCTGGTTGGGATCGCTTTATATTCGTTGCGTGCGTTTGATATTCTGTTAGTTTGTTAGTCTTTTAATTTGTTCGCAATCATAAACCTTGGTATTTATTCAAAAACAGTGTCTTCGACTCAGCGTTTGTGATGCACTTGGTACCGCCCCCCCCCCCCCAGTTTTTTGGGCAGTCGGGCAATATTCGATTAACAGTCGGGCAATTTTGGTTTGTTATAAAAATAAATCGGACAAATTCTGTCAATTTTTTCGAAAATTTAGTCAATTTTGTGGCCAATGTAGTGTTTTTTTGAAAATTTATGTGATGCTCCCAAAAATTTTGGTATGTTCGGAAAAATTTTTTAACCCCTTAAATGGTACACTGACCGAAATTGTTTTGGCGCCGGGGGGGGGGAGGTGGCCAAAATAATTTTTCCGGGAAAAATTTTTTGTACTAGTCGGGCACAATCACGAAAAGTCGGGCAATTTTACGAAAAGTCGGGCAATTTTCTTTCCGCCCCCCTAATTTTTTCCTTCCGGTACGCCCATGGGCTCATGCTCCAGGGAACCGTACTATTTACTATGTCTTGTTTCTTTTCTTCATGTTCGCTTTCTGTATGTCCTCCCATGGATATAGTGTTTAATTAAGCTAGTATAGTCGCTAAAATATTTCGTAGTCGCTATAGTAGTTTATAATGTATAAAACTCACACCCATATCAGCTCCCATTAACTTGACCATAGGTCAATTAGCCATTTCCCAATCGAGCAAAGGACAAGGAGGGACAACAAGTTATAGTGGGCGAGCTAAATATATATTAAAAGATGCCTTATTATAATTGTTGCGTTTCAGGCTGCACAAATAACTTTAGGAATGTAGGAAAACTTCCTAGATGCCATATTCGGCATATTGTTTATTTTTTGTCCCTCCAAACAAGCGACTAGAACCAGTCCTCTGCTCGATTGGGAAATGGCTAATAGGCAGACCGGCGGACCGGAGTCTCATACTGTAAGTGCGAGTTCGTCTCACCCGGTTCACCTATTACAGTTCACTTTCTCATGCGTACGAAATCATGTAGATTTTCTCTTAATGGTTATCATGCAGGTTCTAACGATTAAATTATTAATATCAATATGATTATGATTACGAGGGTAAGCAGGTGTTCCTTGTCTATTACATGCACCGTAGCACGTAAGTCGTCATTTCCAGGTCAGCGTAAACGTCTAAGCAGGCGTTTTGTTTAATTTTATTCCGCGATGCACACTCTATAATTATAATCACTTGATATATAACGATCATAGGCGTACGAGACAGGAGGGAAAAAAAACAACTTGAAAGCATGGAAATTTGGACAAATGCTAGAAAAAGCAAGAAAATTCGGGCAGATTTACCAGAATATATGTTAAATTCAGGTTATTTCATTACAATCCCCCATAAAAATTCGGCCAAACTTTCAACTGCTCCCCAGGAAGCATCATGCAGCCCCGTACGTCTATGATAATGATAGAAATAGCTTTAAAATATAAGCCATGCTTATAGTCTATTAATATATGGGTCTCGAAACTCTAAACAGAAGTAATTGTACAATATTTTTGTGTGAGTTTATGTTAATTGTCATAATTGGTGCACAGTATATCACGGTGATTGAGCTCATTGTGTTTTCGAATAATGAGTAAAATCGTCCAACACGGTTTACTGAGTCAAAAATATGAAATCGCGATGAATATTATTTCACTATAGAAATACATGCATGAAGCAACCCCTCGCCTATATTTCCAAACATTCATTTAGCCATTTTTATTTTTATATATTTTTTTTAGAAAATAGCAAAATAATTGAAAAATTAGCACAGACTTTTAATTAACATTAAATTTCCGAAATGTATACGGTAACATTTTGATATTTAGCATTTTGTGAGTTTTTATTTAAAGTAAAATTTAATCTGAAATGTAAAAATTGTAAAATATTTTGAAACGTTCATTCAACTAACTGCTTTCGCCGATAAACTGTTTTGAATTAACTTAATAAAACAAAATAAGTTCGAATTATTGAAATTGCTTGAGGATGAAGTTGTGGCATGTGCACAGTGAGGTACAGTTCAACGTGCAAAAGCCTTCTATTTTGTGGCTAATTAAAGTTTGCTGGGCTTCCAGATCCCCATATCTTGGCAGACGATGAATAAGCTAATAACAGAATGTCAAAAATTAAGGGTCAATTTTTAATTTTATGTATATAGGTTTGGGAGTATAGGTAAATAATAACAAAGTACTTGTAAATTTGGAGTTGCTTTTATGTCAAGAAACGTAATTTTTTGCAGGGCATTCGAGTATCTACGAAAAACCAAAAAATTCCGACATGCTGGATTATCTTTACCTGAGCACATCAATCAACATTGGTGGATTTATATCAAACAATGTTGAAGTGAAATATGCTAATAGTGGCGTGTATCCGACTAGAAGTTACTTTGCCTTCTTTCCAAATCATCGTGGACAGGCTGTGAGTACGTATCATAGCCAAAACCTGGATTTTGAAACAGTTGGTGTCTCAATAGACTGGAGAAACACTGGAATAATCTCAGGAGAGAATTTGCCAAATAATTTCTTCTTCTTAACAGAAGTGCACTATGGTGGTAGTGGTTGCTATACAACCAGTGATCGTTGGGTGGAGGCAAAAGGAACTGCAATTGGACTGCGTTGAATTTCATTTTTAAACTTATAAAGTTGTTTGTGGGACATGTTGAACTCCGTTGGGAATTGAAAGAAACTTGCTGAGCTAACCGCCTCGCATGGCGGCTAGTTCAGCATGTTCTCTTGTGTGCGGATAGTTTTCGTGCAGAGGATTTAACCTCTCGGGGCCTATCAAGGCCTATAAATATCTATCGATTGCTGACACAAATAGGAAATTAAATTCATATGCGACGAAAAGTACTTGCGTCTCACTCTATATTTCGCAAACATATCTTTCGGCCAAATATCATTGGGTTCTCACTATTCCTTTATCTACGTCTAAACTGCCTTTATTCCATTTTGTCTCTGTTTTTTCTTCAGTCTCCGAGGTTAGTTACCCGAAAAGTTCTTCAAAGTTTACTACACGGTTTATCGGCTAAATTTTGCCCGCCATTGTTATTAGTCGGACGGCAACGTAAGCTGCGATTTAAGCGCGTCAGTTCGGGGGAAAGCAGATGAGTTCGAAAAAACTGACCTGCTCGTAACCAATCAGATGGGATAAGGATTCGTATTCTTTATATAAAAAACAGGGTAACGAGCGGTAATATGACAGTAGAAAAGCCGCCTGCCCTGAATTTCAGCCCTATAGTGTGGTATCACCAGGTCCATTTATAGGCATAGGCTTATAATTGAACAAGAAATATGTTACGTTTACTACTGTTTTATTATTATATCAAGGGAATATTATTGTTTTCATTTACTGCATGGTTTAAATTTTATATATAACCCCTTGGTATAAAAATGCCTAATTAGCGAATAGGCATTTTATAATTTTTCGGCTTATCAGGGGTTGTCTGTACGAACCTTACATATTAATAGGAGATATCTGCTTATTACGAACCGTTTTCATTTATAAGAGAGGAGGGCCAGCCCTGCTAGGCAAGAGTGAGTTTGGAAAATGGAAAGCCTGCCGCACACGAGAGAAACTTGCGGATGTAGCGAGCTCAATGCTGAGCCACTTGAATCAATTAGCCAATGAGAAACCATAGTTTCTTCATGTGACTTTGAACAAAACAGTGGAGAAAAATGCGAACGATTTTGTCAATTATGTTGTTGTTGAGTAGTTTTCCCAACGTGTGCGGTGAAAATGCATAGCTGAGCTAGCCGCTACGCAAGGCGGTTAGCTCAGCATGTTTCTTTCGTGTGCGGTAGGCTTCAACAACAACATAATTGACAAAATCGTTTGCATTTTCCTCCATTTTGTTCAAAGTCACATGAAGAAACTATGGTTTCTCATTGGCTAATTGATTCAAGCAGCTCAACACTAAGCTCGCAACATCCTCAGGCGTTCCATATCCACGCGAGGTGAAAAATAGCACTGAAAAACCGATCGGATAGGTATTTTCCTCAAGGCCTCGAGAGATCGTCAAATCCTCACGAAAATTATCCGCACACGAGAGAAACTTGCTGAGCTACTGCCACGGAGGCGGTACGTTAGCTCAGGATGAGATTTCTTTCGAGATTTCTCTCGTATGCGGCAGGCGTAACGTCAAATGAATGAAGACGAGGTCATCAACCTTAAATAATAGAATATTACTAGCTCTAAGAATGTTACTAGCTCTATAAATTATATTCCCTTGAGAATTTTACATTATTCTATAGTACGTCATTTTTACCGCTCTAATACGTCAACATGCATGCGTTAAAACGTTCGAGTCATGTAATAATGATAATAATGACATTTTTAAAATAATAATAAAAAAATATATGTGGGGTGTTTATGTGAATTCATTGACTATTGCTATTTTGTAAAAGAAACTTTAAAAACTCACTAATAATTCAGGAGGAAAACACAAAGAAAAATCATAAACGTGTCGTATCTTTATATGTGATAAAAAATCATGTTAATTTACATAAACTTTAGCTTTGATTTTCCCGGTTTAGACAAAGTTTATTCTAAAAATTACTTCGCCAATGAACTCATATCAGATGAGTCGTTTTTTAAGCCCGATTTAAAGCACTTGTATAGTCGTGTTTTATCAGATATAAAACGCTCGGCTGCGCCTCGCGTTTTATATCTGATAAAACACTCCTACGCGTGCTTTAAATAGTATAAAGTCTTGTAATGTCTACAATAGTATAAAGTCTTGTAATGTGTTTTTTGGCTCGAACACAAAAATGTAAGTAAAATTGTTTTCAGCTATTACCATTGGCGGTTGTCAAACTCCCTAAGATCTCGCCATTGACTGCAACGCCATAAATAAACGCGAGTAAAACTTTGATGTTCTTTCTCATCCAAATAATTATTAACTCTATGTTGGTTATTACTTGAAAATTTGTGGCTTGGCAGAATATGATTTTGGACTTCGTAATTAAATAGATAAGTTGAGGGAAGTCATCCATTTAAGCGTTAATGGAAGCGAGTCAGCCCTAGCAATAGCGCTGAATTTCTCACGTAAACACTCCACAGGTTGAGAAGCCCTTCATGTGAGGTTCATATAAACACTCCCTCAATATTTCATTCCGTGCAGTGTTTTACATTTTGTACATCCTTGTTCAACAAAAAGTATGTTCACAAGTTTCTTGCCGCCGTGACGTGTACCTATTAATAAACAAATTTATGCTTCAAATCTCAAATAAAGTAAACGAAACGTACATACATGTACGTGGAATTTTCTTTTGCTTCTTGCTCGATCGCTATTCTTAGCTACATAATAGAATTAATACCCAAGGTTGGAACAGTTCAACATAACACGTGTCTGTGTATGGATATTGAGAAAGAAGCTTCAGAATATCTTCATGAGTGAAAGAATACACCATGAATACACTAAGTTTTAGTTACTTTTACGTGAATTGGGCGCCCTGGGTTAGTGTGGTGTTTTGACCTATTTACTTTTTAGTAATGTTTAAATGGCTTAACTTCCGACTAAAAGCATACGCATTCTCCAATAAAGACGGCTATTGATCTCAACTTTGGTACGAGTTATTTAAGGTGGCGCAATCGCCACGGCAACCACCTTACACTTCTGATAGCGTGGGTTCAATTCTCGATGCGGACTCGTGACACTTATGTAAAAAGAGGATCCGGAAAACAACAATCGTGAAAATTTTCGGGCACTACGGTTTCTTCCCTCAAGGAATGTTGACAGGGTGGGTAGAATAGCCACGTAGCTGTGCTCTGTGTCCAGACATAAGTCCTACGGTGACTGCCAGATGCACCCTTAGAGAACTTTCGACTCAATCTGGTTGCATGGGCTGCGTTCTTCGTAATT